AGCACCTAAACAAGAAAATAGTGAGGTCGAGGATAATATCAATTTATACAGAGAAATTTTTGACAATGAGAACTAATTACGCTTCTTTGCTTTCACCATATTTATAGCAAAATCTTCATCATTAGACCATTAATAACTAGACCCAGATGAGGATGAGGATGAAGACTCAGATGCGGTATCATTAAAAATTAGTTTTTTTCTAGCATTGCATTTTCTTTTAACCTCAGATGGTGTATGATTTCTTTGAAAAATATCTGGGTTTGCTATCAAGTTTATAATATCCTGCTGAATCTCAGGTTTCACTATTTTTAGTAATTGATAGAGAGAGATCTGAATTTTTTTATTTGACACTTGTTTAATAATGCAAGATATCACACTATTACCATTTCGAGATTTATGATTATTTTCTAATGTAGCTTTATTCATTGTCAAAATCGTGTAGTAATATGTATCTTGGTACATGATAAAATTCAAAATAAATTATAATTATTTTTCAGCAATGTCATGTGTTTTAAATCCATGAATCGGAGATCAGCATAGAAGTATTTCAGTACTAACCAACTCACTAACCACACTTAATGCAGAGCAATGACCCTTTGGGTCTACCCTTAAGCTAAATTATTTATCCACTATTGCCAGCAAAGATTGAGCAATGATCCTTTGGATCAAGTCTTATTGTGGAACAATGGCAGTTACGTGCCTGACTCTCCTGGCCCATACTAAATAATTCGTGAATGAATAGATCGCCAAATCCGAAATTGGCTTAATAGAATCTGCAAATTAGTTTTGTTAGTCGTGGGGGTGTTTAATATATAAAAATGAGCTAAGTATAAAGAAAATTATAAAATACTTATCTGTCTGTAACTCTTAATAACGTATACTATCTCTTTCAATCATGCAAAATTTTACCTTTGAATATGTCTACTAACCCAACACCTCAAAACATTTTGTGTCTCAAAAACCTTGCTTTAAATATCCTTAAGAATGGCTCCCCGGAAGTTATTGCAGAAGGTGTTGAAGTTCTAGAATTAGATCCATGCTCAAAGTGTAAAGAAGAGCTTTTTTTGTACGAACTTAAAAAACCATTTACCATACTCATTTGTGGCCATATATTTCACCGTAGCTGTCTTGAGGATTATGTAAAAGA